GTTAGTTTTCTCTAAATAAGGTAAAAGGTTAAATTACGGGCGCTTGAAATAGATTGACCATCTAACTAAGTATCTTAATTAAATAGACAATTATGATTATATCTTCGTATGTGATATTTGGTGAACTTACTATGATATGAGATTAATAATTTTTAAGTTTTGTAAGTTTTTGATTTGTCCAAAATTAACCATTGATGATTAATAATTTGTGTTTGCCATGGATTTGACTTAGACTTTGGCCATTGATTGGCAATTCGATTATTACTTTCGATTGATAAATTCTGTAAGTCGTAGATTTCGCTAGACTTAGCCATTGATTGACAAGTCGATTGATAAATTTTCTAAGCCGTGAATTTATAAAAACTTAGCCTTTAATTGGGAAATCGATTACTAAATTTTGTGAGGCATAGTTTGGCTATACTTAGTCGTTGTTTGGAAAATCGGTTGATGTATTGAGTGAGCCATGAATTTGGGCTAGTTGTAGTTGTTTCTTGACTATCATTATTGTTGGTAAATTATTTTGTACATTGGATATTTATTCTCTTACTCAGCTTTAGCTTATATTTACTATTTTCTTCCATGCAAAGTGATTTTTGGACCTTCGTTCACTTGATGCATCATAGGGATGAACCTTTATCGAGCATGCATAACTTTTTATGAGATAATGTCCGAACTTATGATTAGACATATTCTCTACTTTTGAGATGCATTGAGAGTTTTTAATACATGTAAAGACTTTTTACGACTATATATTTTTGAAATACTAATGGGTGTTGGAAAATATATTTTAAGACTTCCGCAAAGAATTTTTTGTTTTACACCTGCCATTATTATGACGTCATATTTTTGTGTAACGTTGTTCTAGTGTTGGTTGGCGTGTGATACTTCAAAGTTATTATTTGGGGTATTACATCTATTGGTATCAGAGCATTTTACTTAAGAAACCACACCCTTTTTTTAAGAATACCATGCATCATGAAATTTATTTTGGGGCTCGGGGTGCATTACATATCATGTTATGCAATGGCTAACTGGCCGACTTCTATGCGTAGTCTAACTAGATCCTACTAACCTATGTGCCCCTATACACTATCATGTAATGGTATGTTACGATATGTAGATTCCTTAGGCCTCTCTTTTAATAATTGGATGTACTCATACTTGCTTATGAGTTGGATCTTTCTCTATTTTAGAGGTTGAGAGGGCACCACGTGGTATTGATTGTACATATAGTAGAGGCCGTGGCGGAAGTTCCATAAGCGGCCCAGGGATTGGCTTTGGGACTAGCTTTACCTTATAGACTAAGGGGTTGAGCGATCTGATCGAAAGGTTAAAGTCATACCACGTGGCTAGGAATGAGGTCCCTTTACCACCACCATCACAGGTAGCGACCGGGGCTCCCTTTAAGATGTCAACTGGGGAGAGAGTACCCCTGACTATTGAAGAGTTGCCCTTGTGACAAAGGATGATATAGGAGACATTATAACAGAAAATGACACGTTAAAAGGAGTAGTAGGACCTCTTGTGTGAGCAAAATGCACTACTGAGACAGTGGTTGAGCCAGTAATAGACACAAGTAGCTACTACGACAGTCAGTCATGAGCAGAACTTTAAGGCTTATCATGAGGATATTTCAGACAATGCTCACAAGTAGCTTCCAAAATGAGTGGGCAAGGAGGACTCTACAGTCTTGGAGGCATGGTTCTTCTTCTTTGACAAGATGTTCCATGCCACTTGTTGCCCCGAGCTTCATAAGGTGGGTGTGGCGGCTCAGTTCTTAGTTGAGGTTTCTGATGATTGGTGGTGTGCCACCTACCCTAAGGGGGAGGCATTGGAACACTATAGTTAGGAGTACCTTAAGGTAGATATGACAAAGATATTTTATTCGAACTTTCTCTATTTTAAGAGAAGGTTTGAATTTTAGCGGTTGGTCCAAGAAAGTCGCACTATGACTGAGTATTATGGCATGTTTCGTGAATTGATGAGGTTTGAGCCGAACATCCTAAGGTATGACCCTAAGCAAGTTAAGAAGTTTGAGGATGGTCGTAATGAAGATATCCGTGTTGCCTTTCCTAGTGGTCGAGCACCTACTCTTGCCGAGTCCTACAATCAAGCCACATATATGGAGAAGACTCTAAGAGACAAAGAGAGGATGATAGAAAACAAAATATATGGATTTAAGATGAGTTTCAAACCTGTGGGGAAGAAGTAGCGATCCTCTTTTCAAAAAGAGGTAGGACTGAGAACTTATGGGAGAGGGCCGAGTGGACTCATTGGGAGAAGGCTCGGGATAATAGGTCAATCCTTGAAATCCTAGAAGAATCATCCATGCTATTTTTTCATGGAAAGCCTAGAGTTTGTTACAATTGTGGACAACTAGGTCACCTGAGGAACAAGTGCACCACCTCGAGGATTTATGAGGGTGGCAATGCGGGGGGACATCACCTAGGGGTCTAGTCACAACAACAATATATACCTACTAGACAAGGATACCCATAACATGCGGGGGGGTGTCTGATAGTTCTTTCCATGTCTGAGGCGAAGGGGCACAACGATGTCATGACAGTATGCTCCTTATATATCAACGATCAACATTTGTACTTTTTTTATTCTTGTGCATCATGTTCTTTTGTTGATGCTCGGTTTGTCTAATTGTGTGGATTATTTGGTTTGGATTCTACTTCTGTGAGCATATCTTTACCTTCGGTTTAGGATTTATTGTGTGATACATATATTTTTCATCCAACACCAGAACAAGATCACACAAAAATATGATGTGTCCCAATGCTAAGACTAAAATATAATTCCAATAAGTGTAAAAGATTTTTTTATTTGCGGAAGTCTTAAAATATATTTTTCAACACCCACAAGTATTTCAAAAATATGTAATTTAAAGAAGTCTTTACATGTATTAAAAATTCGCAATGCATCTCAAAACTAGAGAGTACATGTAATCATAAGTTCGGATATTATCAAATAAAAAGTCATGGATGCTCGATAAAAGTCTCATCCTTATAATGCATCAAGTGGACGAAGGTCCAAAAATCAACTATGCATGGTAGAAGGTAGTAAACATCAGCTAAACTTTAATATATTTCCTTAAGCGTATAATGTTTTTGATACCTTTGGGAGGTGAAAAGCACGTGCAGTGGAAGTAGTGATGTAATGCCTTGATTTTAGAATGTATAAAATAATATTATTATAGCAAATAAATATTTTTATAATATTTTGGGATCAAGAAATTAATATTCTGAAATAAATTTTATTCCTATTTTATATATTAATTATGATTGAAAAGACTCTTAAACAGATAAATATCGATAAGGATAAATATAAAATATAATATATATAATAATATAATAATAATATTGAAGATGATGATGATGAAAATATAATAATAATAATAATAATAATAATAATAATATAATTATATATATACATATATATAAACAAACCAAACCCACCTTAGAAGGAAGAAGCAGACGTCCGCCAGGAGGAAGAAGGAGAGAAAGAAAGAAAAGAAGAAAGAAAAAGATTTTGCCGTCCGATTTCGATTCCGACTTCGGTATTGTATTCCTTGTTATACGTAGAATTTAATTATGGATTTTAATATGAATTTAGATATTGAGGATATTAAATTAGAAATTCTTAAAAAATTCATAACTGGCTATTTGGCTATTTAATCGACGAATTTCTTTAGTTAATAGCCTATTCGTAGTCCTAGCATTACATTTTGAGAATTTCGTATCGATTAGAGCCGAATTGAAAATGGCAGTGTACTGCACCTGCCTGTTTATTCATATTTTTAAGTATTTTTATTTAATAATCGGGTAGTATAAATATTATGAGGTATAAGAGTTTTATAGCTAGAATATCGTAGTCTACTAAATATAAAATTTTGAAACCCAGCGAGCTAATTATAGAAATTAGCTTTGAATAAGCAAGTAGCTCCTATGAATAAGCATATAGCTCAGCTGATTTAAGTAAATAATGGGGCAGGTGTACGTTGGAAAAGATTTGGGTGAAATTTCGAAAGCTAAGGAGTGTCGATAAGGGGTAAGCAGTAGGGAATTAAATATAATTTTAAGAAATTAGGTATGCATGTTGCATGCGATTTTGATTAATATGTTAACGTGATATTATGTGAATCATTTTGTCAGTGCATGTATATATTTATATATATATGTGTGTGCGTATGCATGTGGGAGACTTCACACGGTTTATGATATTTGATATACGTATTTGATCGCATTGGTGAATTTATGAAAAGGAGGATAGGTGAGCTGTCTCACCAGCTCTTTTCGGTAAATTCACTTATTTGGCATGTTGCACACATATTGTTGTCAAGTTTGATATCTGTATTGCATCATTTCACTATTGGCATGACATGACACGTATTTTATGATTAACGGGAATTAAACTTTATTTTAAAAAGGTATGAAATGACATATTTCACGTAGTTCTTAAAATGGATTTAATTCTAGATTGCTTTTAAGAAAATATTTGTTTCAAGTATGCATGGCACATCCGAGACAGGGGACGTCTCGGGATATAGAAAGACGGGCTGAGTGAGTGAACTTACATCTATTGTATTATATGTAAATTTTAAACCGAAAAAACCTCTTGTTTAGGAGTGTGTTTTGTAAATATTCATAAATCAGATTTTTTTTATATAATAATGCGCTTTTATGGCTAATTTTAGTCTTAACACTGTATTATGGGGCTCGAAGTAGGAGGATACGACCTCATGATGCAGTGTGGCGATAGCATTTCCAATGTGAGCCAACTGGGGATGTTACAAGTTGATATCAGAGCATAGGTTTGGTAGATTTTGGCTCCTTCGATTAAAAAGGTTTTGAAATTAATGATGATATTGAATTGGTTTGGCGAGGTTTGGATTTTGTGGGTGCATTCATGTTAATGTGGTTTATGTTTTAATGTTATACCTGGTTTAGTTGTGTTGCTGAGTTGATATTGAATCAGGGAAGTCAGGGGGCAGTATGTCGAATTCTCGAAGTGATGGTTTACATAGGGCTATTCGAGGCCCAGAGCTAGATCCTTCATCTGATGAGTCACGATATCCTGTGCCAGAGCATGTACCAATAGAGGCACCTAGTCAGGATTTCTTCCGGCAGTTTATGGCTGCAATGATGCCTCAACATAGGAGTTTTATTGATGTTGTGATGCGGCATAACCCGCCAACATATTCTGGTTGCGTAGAGCCTGGAGTTCTTGAGTTCTGCGTTGAGAAGATGGAAAAGATATTTCGTGTTGTTCAGGTTCCACCAGGTCAACGAGCCAATATAGGGGCTTATTTCTTGGAAGGTCGAGCAAATCGGTGGTGGTTAGGTGAGGAAGCTGCGGGAGTGGACCAAGTGGATATGACTTGGGATGAGTTCAAAGCAAAATTAAAAGCTAGGTTTATACCGTCACATGTTCGAAAAGCAAAGAAGCAAGAGCTGCTGGACTTGAAGCAGGGTTCGATGTTAGTCGAGGACTATTTTGTAAAGTTCAATGAGCTGGAGATGTATGTTCCTGACTACTTTTCCTGTGAGTGAGATAGAGTTGATCATTTTGTAGATGGGTTGTAGCAGAGGATTCAAGAAGCTTTAGTTGTGTTGGATAACAATTCGTTGTATGAGGCTTACGAGCGTGCTGCTCGATTCTATCAGAAGCAGGAAGTCAGACAGAAGGGCATTGAGAAGGAAATGGGGTATCAACATCAGTTTCGAGATAAAGGAAAAGCTAAGGTGGAGGACGAACCAAAGGGTAAAAATAAATGGTGGCAAATATTCAGGTCTGGGCCATCGTATAAGGGGATTTTGATTAAAGAACCAAGTCAAGAGAGGTTTCAACAATCGGGGGTTGTTTGTCGACGTTGTGGAACAAGTCATTCAGGTACCCGTTGTGATAAAGTTCTATTAATATGTTTTAAGTGTGGTGGTAGTGGTCATATTACCAGCCTATGCCCAAGTGCGGTAACTGCAAAGGAGTTTCCAGAACCGAGATTTAGGCCATGGCAGCAGCCGTCTTCACAGTCACAGGGGAGAGGATTAGGACCATCATGGTGAGGTGGTCGAAGTCAGTCACGTCCGTCATCTAGGCAGCCAGGCAGAGGACCTGACTAGTGTGGCAGAATAAATGTTGTTACCCAAACAGAGGCTGATCATCACCCAGGTGAGGTTCTAACGGGTAGATTTCTTGTTTGTGGTTTGTCAGCTCTTGTGTTATTTGATTCGGGTGCAACATTCTCGTTCATATCTAAACATTTGGTTAAAAGATTGTGTCTGAATTCATCGGTAGAAAACGGTAGTGGAAGTTTTACTTCCATCAGGAGAAGTACTAGAGTGCCGAGAACTCTATATGCAAATTCCGATTAGTATTGGGGGAGTTGATTTTGCTACTAACTTGTTGAGTATGAAGTTATCCGAGTTCGATGTGATACTTGGGATGGATTGGTTAATGGCATATCAAGCTCAATTTGATTGTCGAAAAAGATCAATTTCGTTGGTTGGTGCGATGGGTGAACAAGTGAATTATGCAGGATCTGCAAGACAACCTTCTATGAAGGTAATTTCATCCCTATGATTTCAATCACTTATTCGTAAGGGGTATCCGGTGTATCTGTGTGAGGTAAGAGATTTGAAGCAAGGGGAGCAGCGATTGCAAAATATTCTTGTGGTTCGTGATTTTCCTGATGTATTTCCTGATGATATTCCTGGTATGCCACCAGCTCGTGAGATGGATTTTACTATTGATATTGTGTCAAGCGCCGAGCCAGTATCAAGAGCCCCACATCGCATGGCACCGTTAGAACTACAGGAATTACTGGATAAAGGTTACATTCGTCCTAGTACGTCGCCTTGGGGTGCTCCAGTTTTATTTGTGAAAAAGAAAGATGGAAGCTTGAGGTTGTGTATTGACTACCGTGGGCTGAATAAAGTAACGGTAAAGAACAAATATCCTCTTCCGAGAATTGATGATCTATTTGATCAACTGAGAGGTGCAAGTATATTCTCCAAGATTGACTTGAGGTCTGGATATTATCAACTAAGGGTTGCAGAGTATGATATTCCTAAGACAACTTTTCGTACTAGATATGGCCATTATGAATTTACGGTTATGTCCTTTGGCTTGACCAACGCCCCGGCTGTGTTTATGGAATTGATGAATCGAATTTTTCAACCATACGTTGATCAGTTTGTGGTGATATTTATCGATGATATCTTGGTATATTCTCCAGATAAAAAGACACATGCAAAACATTTGCATGTTACCCTAAATACACTGCATGCGAGGAAGTTATATGCCAAGTTATCCAAGTGTGAGTTTTGGTTGAAAAAGGTTGCTTTCTTGGGGCATGTATTTTCTGGTAAGGTATCTTAGTAGATCTTTCTAAAGTTGCGGCAATCTCGGATTGGCAAAGACCTACCAATCAGAAGCAGCCGGCAAGTTCCACTGCTCGAGCTTTTTTCCATGTTTTTAAAAAATGGAGGTTCAGATTTCCCTATTTTTTATTGCACTGAATCTGTGATCATTTATTGCGCCAGGCGGGGTGACCCACAGCACAATAATGTAATTTATTCAACGATTAGGGTGGGGTGTCGTTTAATTGTTGCAAGTGACCTAATTCCGCTTCGGTTGAACCAATTTTGTTTGCCTAGACGATCACTGCTTCCTCCTGCTATAAGTACACTCCCCTCCGATTTCGATTCAATTTTTCAGGTTTTTTCCCCAATGTTGGGTTCGTAGACTGCTTTAAGATCTTCCGTCTGCTTTCGGTGGTGGCGTGCGATTGTAGCGTTGGGGGTTTCGGTAATTAGGGCGCCGCCTCGCCGATAGCGTCGACGCCTCCGCCTCCGGCGGAGTGGGAAGGCGACAGGTAGAAGATGATTACTCTAATTTAGGTTTTGCATTTTCTGATTTATTTTTATTTTGTTTGTTTGTTTGTTTGTTCATATGTGATTACTATAATCTCAATCTGAATTTGTGGAAGATGAGTAGTTATTGCTGATTTTCAGTTCTTCGAACACTGTAATTCGCAAGGATGTGCTCAATGCGTCACCGAGGCCATTAAGTTTTACAGATTCTGATACTGTGAGTAGCTTTGCATTCTGTGTTCTTAATTTTTCACTTTCATTTGGAATTTACTGTAAACAAATGGTAATTGTGTGAAACTACAGCGGGTAAATGGTGAAAAAGCTCTCAATTATATCAGAGCTTTCATTGAATTTTGTCGAAGATTTTCGAGCAGTAGCTTTCTTCTTGGTGTTCTTATGAATATTTACATCTTTAAGCGTTGCTGCTAGAAATTTGCTTAACTAAAGGTAACTCTACTTGGCGCACGCCGAACATTTGAACATTATCTGCGATAGGACATCCGGCAGCTGGAACGAACATGTCTTAGAGTCAAGTGGTGTTTTTAATTCAAATGTCTTGACAACACACAAGGTATTCGCCAATTTTGTTTCTTGGTATTTATGCAATCCGTTTGACGATCAAATTTTGTGTATAGTGACCTTGCAAACACGCAAAATGTTTTAGATACTAAGGTTCTGTTTGAATAGAAGTTTTGAAGTTGTAGAAAATTTTGGGAACGATAAAATGTTCTTTTTGATACGATATTTTGTGAGAAAATAAAAGATAGCATTTGATGCGAATTTTTTTTTAAATGTTACTGTTAAATTAATGGCGTCAAAAGTTCAAAAAATGTCTATGTAAATAGAGTTTGTTTGAATATTCGTTTCTTGAGAGATCTTGATTGAATATCTGAATTTGTTGGCAAGTAGTCGTCAGTCGAACTGATGGAAGAAATTGCCGTGCTCGAGGTTGAAATCATGCATTTGGAACAGTATCTTTTATCTCTTTACCGAACTGCTTTCATGCGATATCTTCCGACGACACGACTAAGGACCGCCCAAGAAATGGATGCACTGTCCTATCAAGCTTCATCCGGCCCCCATTCTCCGAAATCGAAATCAGCAACTCCAAGAGATAGCAAAAGTCCTATGGATCTTGTTCTTGTTTCTGTTCCACTGTCGTCACCCGTAAAGGTTAAACTTGCTTCGGATTTCGTACTTGAAATTAACATTCTTTGAATCTCAGAGAAGTTTTTATTTATATTTTTGCATTTCGGATGAATAATTGCAGAAGCAGCCGGCAGGTTTAACATGTTTAGAAGCATAAGTAAGAAGCTTTTTGGGTTTGGCAGGATATTACCGAAGATTCGTTCTTGATTTTTCGAAGGTTGCAGAGCCATTAACTAATTTGCTGAAGAAAAACACAATGATTAATTGGGATCGTGAGTGTGAGTCCTCTTTCTTAGAATTGAAACATCGATTAACTTCAGCACCAGTCATGGCTTTACCAATAGAGGGTGAGGATTTTGAAGTTTATAGTGATGCTTCGAAAAGGGGATTGGGATGCGTCTTAATGCAGAATCAAAGAGTTATTGCTTATGCGTCACGACAACTAAAACCTCACTAAGAGAATTATCCTACACATGACTTGGAGATGGCAGCATGATCGAATTATTTTTGGAGAGTTTTTAAAATATCTTTTAAGATACAAAAAAATGATATATGAAAATAGTGTCGTGCGTGTTCGTGTAGTAACTCCAAAAAGTTCGTCAAAAATAAAAAATCTCTTTAACCGGTGAGTGTCCGGGTCGAACTCAGGGAATATGCGAATATCCTATATTTAATTAGAAAAAGTGCAATGAGTTAATGCAATCGAAGAAACTGAAAAGATCAATTGCAGGAATTAAATCTAACTAAAAAGCGATAAAATATACGTATCTCGAAAAGGATGAAGCGAGGCGTTTGTGTCTGACTTTTGCGTTCCTTAATGGCTAGATTTCCATGGATGAAATGAGCGGGATGACGATAGCGTGATAGCGAAAAATATATGTATAATTGCGGGGCGGCTCGGAGAAATGAATGTGATCGCATTTGCTCGCTTAAGCTGATTATCGACTCGGTTGGTACTTGATCTTGGGGGATTTACAACGAGGCTTCAGCGACACCCGGCGAAGAACATTATAAGCAAGAAACCCTACTGTCACTAGGAATCTCTGTGACCCAATAGACCCCCGCCTATGCCCCATGAATTATTCTTCCAACCGTTCCGCTAGTGGCTCTACCCCTTTTATTACCTCTCTTTAATCAAAATCGAATTCAGAACAGCAACTAAGCAGGTCGACAAGGCTCCCGCGTACTTAGCTACGTTGAACTACCCGGAAACCGCTTTTGGCGCATAACAGGGCTGAAATAGTCGATTCTTCTGTCGCCCTTCCGCAACCTTGTCGAAATCCAACTTGAACAATTCAAATCGAACATGGAATTTTTGGGTGAAGGTGAGGTGGAGAAATATGATAGGAATTTTACTAGCTAAAATACTATGCTGAAATTAAAAGAAAAAGGGGGAGAAAATCAGTTTGCTCGCGACACAAAACCGAAAATCTCGTATTATTAAACTAGATAAAAATACGGAAGAAAAGAAAATGGAGAAAATGGAATGTATATTATTGTGTATATATGGTGTATATGTATATATATATCTACGGTGTATCTATATCTATCTATGGTCTATATATATATATATGGTACAATTAGAGGGGATATTTATAGGGGAAAAGCTTTCTAGAAGCTTGACGGTTACAACCGCCAATAAATAACTAATTCTAAAAATAACTACTAACTACCTCTAAAAATAACCATAAATAACTAACTCTAAAAATAGCTACTAATATAACTACTAATAACTACCTATTTTCTAGAAGGTTTTAGAATAAAAATTACACAAAAATAGCCAAAAATTGGCTAAAAAGTAGTGCAGGATTTTAATTAAGGGAGCTGGGAGAGTGTAGTAAATGCAGAAGCTGAGGGTGCAGGAGACATAAATGCAGCAGAATTCTGTGCAGGAATTATTGTGGCGGCGCAGTAAACGCACTGCTGACCAGCGGCAATAAATGCAGCGAGAATTAATGCAGCCGCCGCTTCGCTCACTTCCACGTATGGCTTTCCGCTCCGCTCATATTTTCGTGTCAGCCGCCGCTTGAATTCCGTGTTAGCCGCCGCTTCGCTTTCATAAATACAGCCGCCGCTCGCCTTCCGCGCTCGCTTGCCTTCCGCGCTTGCGCACTCCTATGTAGCCGCCGCTTGTCTTCCGCGCGGCCGTCGCTTGCCTTCCGTGCGGTCATCGCTTGTCTTCCGCGCGGCCGTCGCTTGCCTTCCGTGCGGTCATCGCTTGTCTTCCGCGCTCATAAATACAGCCGCCGCTTGTCTTCCGCGCGGCCGTCGCTTATCTTCCGTGCTCGGTTGACTTTGACTTTCGAGCGTTGACTTTCTGGCGTTGACCTTTGACTTTTGTTGACTTTCACGCCGGTGACTGTTTTTTTCGCTTCTGAAGCTATTTTTTCACTTTTTAAGGCCAGTTTTGGGCTTCCACATCAGTTTTCAAGCATTATTTCACCTATATAAATAATGAACATCTTATAAATATTTCTTTAAATAAATAATACTTATAAAATAAAATTAATTCAGTTAAAATTAAATACGTAAATAGCACATAAATAATGCCAAAAAATATAATTCAAGAAACACATCAATTAATTTAATTTATACACCAAAATAATTATAAATTGCACTTAAAAACTAATAAACTAATATTATACAAACAATAAGAAATTAATACAATTATTAGAATAAATTAACATAAATGATATCAAAATTTGACATAATTAAATAAATAATTAAATAAATATAAGCTATAAAATATGGCAAAATCAAGAGTTATCACAGCAGTTGTGTTTGCTTTGAAGATTTGGAGGCACTATCTTTATGGTGCCCATTGTAGAATGTTTACTGACCATCAGAGTCTGAAATATATCTTCACCCAAAGAGAATTAAATTTAAGACAAAGAAGATGGTTAGAATTGGTGAAGGATTATGATCTCGAAATTGTATATCATAAAGGCAAAGCAAATGTTGTAGTTGATGCCTTGAGTCGAAAACCAAGGCATAAGTTAAGTTCTATGTCAGTTGCTGATAAACTGTGTCAAGATTTAGCACGGATGGAAGTTGAAGTACTTGGACGGGGCATGACGCGGGGATATTTGCAAATGATGCAAGTTGAGCCTGAAATTTATGATCATATTAGAGCAGCTCAAATGGAAGATAATAAGATGGTCGAGCTGGCTATAAAAGTTCAGTGCGGTCAGACTCAAAACTTTAATATTGCTTCAGATGGGAGACTTTGATTCCATGGGAGGTGGTGTATCCCAAAGGACCGAAGCGATTTGAAGAAGCAAATTATGAGTGAGGCTCATAATACACCATATTCAGTGCATCCAGGAGGGATTAAAATGTATCAAGACTTACGTTAACATTTTTGGTAGAAGGGCATGAAGAAAGATGTAGGCAAATTTGTTGCACAATGTTTAAATTGCCAAAAGGTGAAAACAGAACATCATAGACCAATTGGGTTGCTACAACCTTTAGAAGTTCCGCTCTGGAAATGAGATTCTATTGCAATGGATTTTGTGACAAGACTTTCAAGGGCGAAGTCGGGAACAGATGCAATTTGGGTGATTATAGATAGATTGACCAAGTCAGCAGTGTTCATCCCAGTACGTATGACTTGGAGTATGCAGAAGTTGGCCAAATTATATGTTCATCATGTGGTTAAACGACACAGTATTCCTGAGGTAATCATATCGGATCGTGATCCACGTTTTTAATCTCGATTTTGGCAAAAATTGCAAGAAGCCTTTGGTACTCAGTTGCATATGAGTACTGCATTCCATCCAATGATTGATGGTCAATCAGAGTGAACTATCCGTATTCTGGAAGATATGCTAAGAGCTTGTGCAATAGAATTTCAAGGAAGTTGGGAGGACCACTTGAATTTAGTGGAATTCTCATATAATAATAGTTATCAAACAAGTATTGGAATGGCTCCTTTTGAAGCCCTTTATGGACGAAGATGCAGGACTCGTTTAAGTTGGGATGACATGAGCGATCGACTGATATTAAGTCCAGAAATGATCGAAGAATCAAAAAATAAGATTCGAGTTATAAGGGAGAAGATGAAGATAGCTCAAGATCGCCAAAAAAGTTATGCTGATAAAGCCCGACGTGAAGGTCAATTTCAAAGTGGAGATTTCGTCCTAGTAAAAGTATCTCCAATGAAAAGTATTAGAAGATTTGGAATTAAAGGAAAATTGAGTCCGCGTTATGTTGGACCCTATGAAATCCTCGATCGAGTTGGAGATTGGGCTTATCGGTTAGCACTTCCTAATTGCATGGAACGAATTCATAATGTGTTCCATGTATCACAGCTTCACAGGTATGTCTCAGATCCTTCTCATATTTTATCTCCCGATGAATTACAGCTAAATGAGGATCTTTCGTATGAGGAAATGCCTCTTTGGATCATGGACACAAAGGTTCGAACTACGAGGAACCGAAATATTCGTATGGTGAAGGTAATGTGGTCCCGGCATGGAGCAGAAGAGGCCACGTGGGAAGTAGAACAAGAGATGTTCAAAGCATACCCACATTTGTTTAACTAAGTAGTGTTGTTATGCGTTTGAGTTTAGATTTCGGGGACGAAATCTTTTAAGGGGGAGTGATTGTAATGCCCTGATTTTAGAATGTATAAAATAATATTATTATAGCAAATAAATATTTTTATAATATTTTGGGATCAAGAAATTAATATTCTGGAATAAATTTTATTCCTATTTTATATATTAATTATGATTAAAAAGACTCTTAAACAGATAAATATCGATAAGGATAAATATAAAATATAATATATATAATAATATAATAATAATATTGAAGATGATGATGATGAAGATATAATAATAATAATAATAATAATAATAATAATAATATAATTATATATATACATATATATAAACAAACCAAACCCACCTTAGAAGGAAGAAGCAGACGTCCGCCAGGAGGAAGAAGGAGAGAAAGAAGAAAAGAAGAAAGAAAAAGATTTAGCCGTTCGATTTTGATTTTTCGACTTCGGTATTGTATTCCTTGTTATACGTAGAATTTAATTATGGATTTTAATATGAATTTAGATATTGAGGATATTAAATCAGAAATTCTTCAAAAAATCATAACTAGCTATTTGGCTATTTAATCGACGAATTTCTTTAGCTAATAGCCTATTCGTAGTCCTAGCATTATATTTTGAGAATTTCGTATCGATCCGAGCCGAATTGAAAATGGCAGTGTACTGCACCTGCCTGTTTATTCATATCTTTAAGTATTTTTATTTAATAATTCGGGCGGTATAAATATTATGAGGTATAAGAGTTTTATAGCTAGAATGTCGTAGTCTACTAAATATAAAAGTTTGAAACCCAACAAGCTAATTATAGAAATTAGCTTTTAAATAAGCAGGTAGCTCCTATGAATAAGCATATAGCTCAGCTGATTTGAGTAAATAATGGGGCAGGTGTACGTTGGAAAAGATCTGGGTGAAATTGCGAAAGCTAAGGAGCGTCGATAAGAGATAAGCAGTAGGGAAGTAAGTCTAATTTTAAGAAATTAGGTATGCATGTTGCATGCGATTTTGATTAATATGTTAACATGATATTATGTGAATCATTTTTTCAGTGCATGTATATATATATGTGTGCGTATGCATGTGGGAGACTTCACACGGTTTATGATATTTGATATACGTATTTGATCGTGTTGGTGAATTTATGAAAATGAGAATAGATGAGCTGTCTCACCAGCTCTTTTTGGTAAATTCACTTATTTGGCATGTTGCACACATATTGCACGGTTTATCGGATATATTTTATAGATCTATCGTTTAGTCGCCGTGTGCGGTAGTGCTAGGCGAGGGCATCATCTTGGGTTAGAATATTCGACCCCGATGTACCGTAACACTTTGGCGATAGTGGACGATAATAGTCGGACAACTGGGTGACTTAGTCGCACGGTCATTCAGAGATTAGACCATTGTAGTTGAGACGTATTTTGATCTAATCATTCGTGTTCGGTGTTGTTCCACTCATTGGAGTAGCTACTAGTGAGGTCTACCGGTAGTTTAGGATCATATGTCAAACTCCAAACGTGATCCCGTTAGGGCGCGGGAGGAGTAGAGTTTCCGGGTTTCCCTTGGGTGATTCCAGGTTGCACGGATTCTACTACATTACACGGGATAGGGCTAGTCTGGGGGTCCTATCTTCGCTATCACAGACTATGGGGCGTCTTGTGGTTAATGGCGATAACGTTCGGCTATCCATGTATTGATTGTTGAAGTTGTATGATGGGTATATGGGAGTGACCGGATGACCGTTATATTATTATGGGTTTATCAGGTCCTTCCTTGAGCCGAGGATTTTCCAGCTATTTATTGATGATGGTCTAGTGAGTTTGTTACTGCGGGGCCGAGGGTATTCCGGCTGCTCACTTAGACAGAGGCAGTGAGCCTATTATTATGGAGCCGAGGTTATTCCGGCTGCTCACTTCGGCGGATGTATATATATGTGCATGTGCATTGTTGTCGAGTTTGATATCTGTATTGCATCATTTCACTATTGGCATGACATGACACGTATTTTATGATTAACGGGAATTAAACTTTATTTTAAAAAGGTATGAAATGACATATTTCACGTAGTTCTTAAAATGGATTTAATTCTAGACTGCTTTTAAGAAAATATTTGTTTCAGGCATGCATGGCACATCCGAGACAGGGGACGTCTCGGGATATAGAAAGACAGACTGAGTGAGTGAACTTACATCTATTGTATTATATGTAAATTTTTAACCGGAAAAACCTCTTGTTTAGGAGTGTGTTTTGTAAATATTCATAAATCAGATTTTTTTTATATAATAATGCGCTTTTATGGTTAATTTTAGCCGTAACACTATATTGTGGGGCCCGAAGTAGGAGGTGACGACCTCATGATGCAGTGTGGCGGTAGCATTTCTAGTATGAGCCAATTGAGGATATTACAAGTGAGCCGATTTGTGAGCAATCTTGGAAACAACCTAACGCGGTGACCTTAGATGAGCTGAGATTGTGTTCAACCTGATTTGGCCTCGATGAGTGAAAAACGAGGCTTGACGCTGTCATTGCGGATGAAGTAAAATGTTGAAGTGGAAGATGCAATCAGCCTTCAAGTGAGAGATTGTTGGGATATGAAGCCTGATTATATCCTAAAATCTAGGAATATGATTTGAATATGATTTAGATATTACCCTAGATCTAGATATATGATTTGTATATTATTGGCATAGGTTTAGTTATAAATATTCATATATTCTCACTTTAACATTTGTGTTGTATATTATATTCTATAGTAAAATTCCTGATTTGACAGCGCCTTCAGACGTAAATCATTCTTATCGAACTGAGTAACCAAATTATTGTGTTCTATATCCTTGTTTATCTCTTCTTGATTTCCTAAAATTTTCTTAACATTGATAAGATCAATTCATAATATATCTGTTCGACTATGTAGTTGCACAATATAAGAATATGGAAAGTATATACTTTTGAAATTAAATATATTGTTTTGAATCGAATTAACCAATTACATAATAAATGAAGTAAACTAAATATACGAAACTAATAAAGTAAGAAAAAAATAATAAAAAGAGAATCAAACTTAATCAAAAATAAAGATTTCATTGTCGATGTATATAATTTAAAATAATAATTTACAGGTATTTTTATATCTAAATTAAACTTAATAAAAAATAAAAGATTACATTTTGTTGATGTATATAATTTAAAATAATAATTTACAGGTCTTTTTTATATCTAAATTTAGTAATAATATTATCAACATAAATAAATTTTTTTCTAAGCTAGTATAAAATAATTTTGAGGGTTTGTAAAGTAATAGTCGAAGGTTATGTTTATGGATTTGCTCTTTCTTTGGGCCTCCCCCGTCTTGTAATATGTGGTGTCGAGGAACTAAAGCCTGTTCGATTTTCCTAACTTTGTTGTCTTTTAATTTTTTGGAAGAATATTACATCATTTTGCAACTACTTAGGTTCGTTTGGATTAATTTTAGAATTAAGTAGAAGTCAAAGTAGGAGTAAAAAGAGAAATCAAAATAGAGGTGGTTTGATTTTATATTTTAATGAACTTCCATAAAAATAGTTTTGTTTAAAAAAAAATGTTTGAATATATCAAATTAGTTTTTTTAACTATTAAAATTGTCAAACAAAATATATTATTAATATAACTGTGTTTTTATAATTTTATTTATTTTGTAAATTATATTAAAAAAAATTAAATTGTGAAGTCTAATTAAAAATATATGTGTATTAAATTCTATATAACAATCATATTTATAATTATAAGATAAATTAAAATTAAAATATTGGTTTAACCTCAAAATAAATTATACTCTACTCTAAAACACTACAAAAAAAAAACAATTTTCTACTATGGCCGGAAATTCGTAACAAAAAGCCAATTTTCGTGCAATATGCGTATTTGCTACGCCTTAGTGACGACTTTTAGCCGTAATGTATACTCGCGTAACGAATGTTTTTTGCCACGCACATTTTCGTAACTACTACTCTTGGTCAACGATCCTTATGGCAAGCTTTTGTTACGATATTTGTTACAAATTTTTTCTCGTAACAAAAAATCGAGCATTCCACGCGTGTGCCAGGTCTTTTAGTCACGATATTTGTTACAACAATGCCTCGCGTTACCAAAAAAAATTTTGCTGATCCCTTGTCAGAGTACGCTTTTTGTTACAATTTTTTGTTACTGTCATTACAACCGTAATTAACAATATATTCTCTTATGATCACGAAACCGACCGTAACAAAAATATCCCTTCGTATTTGTTACGTCGAAAAACCACCTTTCGTTACAACATTTAATTTTTTTTGTTACGTCATATATTTTTTTGTTACGTCATTGAACCCTTAACAAAAATATCCATTCTTACAGTCACAAAACCGGTCGTAACAACAAACACCAAAACCAACATTTTGTTGCATCATTTCTCATTTTTTGTTACGAAAAAATAGCGTCTCATAGAAAAGAGTAGTTGCTAAACAGTTGAATTTGTGCATAACAAATTAACCTGTTGTGATCTTTCTTATACAACCATGCTATAAATATTACGATCGGCCATAATTGCAAGTAATAAATACTATAAGGAAATCCCAACATAGGATATTAACATAACAGTATTTACTAGTCGATGTCCTCCAACAAACAACAAAGTACATTAACCAATCAAACAAGGCTAGCAACATCTCCAATTTGACATTATGTTCCGTCAAACACAAGCATTTCAAACATCCAACCTAGTAATAAGCAAATGGGGAGATCCATCAATCCATAGCAACAATTCTTACCCCATAAAAGATACTTCCAAATGTCTATGCATCTATTCCATAGGTATTTCACATAGCCATTAAAACCTACCATCCAAGCACATTAACGGCATGCAATTGATAATGCAAACAGAGGCAAAACATAAAGGAACCGGTCGATATGTTTCAGGGGTGGCGCATGAGCTGCAATTACAAACATAATAAGGTTTAGTTTAAGTAATAATTATTTTAACATAAAGACCATAAATTATATATCATTCCATTTCTTTTCAATAATAATACATTCCATTTAACATATTTTTATATATCCATTCAAAGAAATAGATGTACTAGAAACAAGTACATGTTAACAAAAACGAAATTTTGTGTATAAAATCTTACAAAAGAAGTGCATAATAGATAAAATAATTTTTATGAGTGCAACTGACCCCTCGATCTGAAAGCGAGAATGTGACACTTCTCAATTCATTCACATTTGATAAAAGAACACATACAACACTAATAAAATTATGAGAAAAAGAATGGAAAATATTTTGTGCCACGTACTTGATTTCTTCTATTCAATGTAAGTTTCGCACATAATCCATTAAACCAAGATCTATATGGATAAGCATATTTAAATATAAAAAAGAACATAAAACATTGAAATTTTTAGTTTACCTATCATAACTAGAACCATCCATGAGGATGTTATCAGCTCCTATATGCTTAAAATCTATGTGTATCTTATCATCGAAGTACTTACATAAATGATGGAAAAACACGTTTGTCATATTCTGATATTAATCAACATAAATTCAAGCATGATGGTAGCTCATCCAACACTAAACATACATCCGAAAGATTCCTACCTTCTAAATCATAAAAAATATGAACAAAAAAACTAGGACAGAATGAAGGTTAAACAATCAAGCTACTACATTTCATTAAAAAGATATATAATTGAAAACACAACAATAGGTGACAAGTAGAAAAACAAGAAAAACTCCTCGGCCCACTTAAACATATTACCCTACCGTACAACTATATCAAACATTCAATTGGAGAAAATAAAATTTAAAAATGAAAGAAATTGGATGGAATGAATATAAAAGATAATTTTTTTTTAAAGAACCTCTTTAATTAAACCAATATATACTAAATATATATATCACAAAATTATCTATATATCTTATATATACATAGGAACGCACAGACCCAAACTAAAAGAAACCTACCAAATCCAACCATCCAAAGCCTAAACATGATTACAAAAACCATAAAATCCCAAGCAATTCGGCAACTCAAGCCATACCAACCTCCCACAACTAGACTAGATTAACAACAAACCCACTCCTTGAGAATAAATATCTCCTATAACCAATATTGCACCAATCATCCAATCCATGATCTCCAAACCGCAAACTCAAGCGCAAGGATATAACAAGCCACCAACCAAAAGGAAGAATCAACCAAAGATCACACCTGATATGTTCAATCCTCAATGCAAAGCCAACAATAAAAAAATCTACCTCCAAGAATCAAAACTATAGATGAAATCCCATGATGAGAACTAAACTCACAATATCAAAACCAGAGATGAACTTCCACTGCATCTGCCAAAGGAAACAACAATCAAATAATGGACTGCTTGGATCAATCCAGCCTCCAATTCCATGACTTAAAGAAGCATCAAAATCAAATAAAACAAAAGTCACCAGCAACTCAGAGTTGAGGATAATACCAGTCTAGATAAAAAAATAATGAAGTGGAATATCAAATGGATGCATAAGAATACAAGATTCTTCCTTCAATGTTGCACACCCGAAAAACCATGCTGCCAACACCAACTCTGCACACCCCTCGCACTACTCAGTTACCTGGATGACTGTCAATCAAAATCTGATTTGAATAACTTGCCCATGCACCAACCTATTCGATCAAAGACAAACTACCATACACCAATATCAGCCTCCAACTCCATGACTTCAAGAAGCACCAAAATAAAATAAACAGAAGTCATTGGCAACTCAAAACTGAGGTTACTACCACCCAAGATATATGCATGAAACCAACACTTTCCAAGAATGATCACAACCAAATCGAACACAAATCACAACCATCTCACCAAAATTCTCACAATCTAGAGTGACTCAACTGCCACACACAAACAACAAGAAGAGCAACAAAGGCCAACAACCAAAACAAAATGCAGACACCAAAATAAAACAAGCCAGGTGAATGAGACATAAATAAACCAGAACATAGATTAATTGAATCATCAACCACAATCAATTTAAAGCTGAAAATTGACTCACAAGGCTGATGTAAAAATACTTAGAGAAAAATGTTTATGCTCGTTCTCTTATCTTAACTTTTCCAAATTTGCTTTGCTGGTCTAAAGCTTCTTCTTTTTAATTTAGCAAACTCCTATTCCAAGAAAATAAATATATATATATTATATTTCAAACCTATGGAAGCTACCCTGTAAGAACTAAAGAAAAGAGGAAAAATGCTAGAAGACAATACATGTATAAAGAGAGTAACAAATATAATTCAATAAAAGACTTTAATTTGATGCCATATCACAAGTAAGAAAAAGGCCCGCAGCGAGCTGATTTATTTTGTTATCCAATAAGAAGCCTACAATCTTATCAACTCGGAAGATATATAGAGTTGGTTTTGGATCAAGGGGGAAGAAATTAGCCGAATGAGCAAATGATCGAGCAGGTGGAGTGCAAGCTGAAGAGGCAGTTACGGAAGGGTAAGTTTGGGAATGGAGAGAATACCTACCAAATCAACCCGAACTTCATACTCAACTAACTAGTCAACACCATCAACACCGATGAAAATGAACAATAATGTACATAAAAATGGGGAAACAAATGAGAGGACACCTTCGCCGTCAAGGGGATAGGTGACTAATTGTCCCTGAAGAGGCATTGGAGATGGCGATTAAAAGTCATGACACCATTGTCGGCGCTCGACTCATAGGGCGAAGGATAGGGAACCTTTTTGATTCTCAAAACTATAAGCGAA